TCAGTGTGTGTGTGTGTGTGTGTGTGTGTGTGTGTCTGTGTGTGTGTGTGTGTGTCTGTGTGTGTGTGTGTGTGTGTGTGTGCTGTACAGGGCTGTACTGAACGTTTCGTCTCCAGTCCTGAAGAAGTGATGGATGTTATTGATGAAGGCAAAGCCAACCGCCACGTTGCTGTTACAAGTGAGTTTCTCTAACCCACACTAACAGAAAATCACAGAAGCATTGCTATAACTCAAACTGCAGGTTATGGGTTTGAATCCCAGCGAATGCATAAACTGATCACATGCACGCCTTCAATGCAATGCAAGTCACTTCGGATAAAAGCATCTGCCAAATGCATGAATGTAATGTAAAGTTACGAATCAAATGATCTGACTGCTGTGCTGTCGTGTGTCAGATATGAATGAACACAGCTCCAGAAGCCACAGCATATTCCTCATCAACATCAAGCAGGAGCACGTGGAGACCGAGCAGAAGCTCTGCGGGAAACTTTACCTGGTGGATCTGGCTGGGAGCGAGAAGGTGCTTTCAGACTCTGACATCCTTTAGCTTCACAAGAGCTTCACAACAGTGTGTCCACCTGTAGGAACGAACAATCACTAATGAGATCTCATTAATGGCTTAAACATGTCAATAACTGTGTTTTCATGCACGTATTTTAATGCAACTTGTGGGGTATTGCACAAAAAACGCTGGATGGAAAAAACATATGCAACCGACAAGTAGGCATGCACATAAACTACAATGTAAAAACATTTACTGAATAAATTCCTTGATATGCAACAAAAAACTCATATGACTTTGACTAACCAGTGGACCGATCTCATCGCACACTGTCTCAAATGTTGTTTTAATCATTTTGTATTGCCTAAATCAAAGTCTGTCATCAAAATCATAAAGATTCTCACAAGATTGAGTGCCGAACATCAGGCATCCGAACGCAAGATAACATGACAGCGATTGTTATTGCATTTCGCCTGCGCGCTCTGAGACACAAATAATTTATTATGTAGGAAAAGAAGAGTCACAGTGGCTTTATTATTTGATGCTTTGCACCAGTTTCCCAGAAACTGATGATTTTGTTCTTTTGAACACATTGGATGGGATTTATTCGCAAATGTTTTACGCAATATTCCAATAGTTTCGCATATATGAAATTAGCAACTTTGGATGGAAACATAGCTAATGAAATTCACGTTGTGCACAGTATGCATACTGTAAAAAATAGTAAGAGCAGTATGCTAGTGTAATGTTCCCGATTCAGCAACTGTATACACTGGAATACTAGCATACTGCATACTTTTTAGCATTCCATGCATACAGAAAAATCACATTGTGCACATTATGCATACTATAATATTCCGGATTCAGCCTCGGTATGCACTGGAATACTAGCATACTCTGCAGAATGTACTACATGCTAGTTAGTATTCCATGCATACTGAAAATTTGCATATTTGCACAATATGTATATTGCAAAAATAATATGAGTGGTATGCTAGTGTAATGTTGTGGATTCAGCCACTGTTTCCACTGGAATACTAGCATAATGTATACTGCACAAAAAAATGCTGCATTTTTTTTTATATTCCATGCATACAGAAAATTCACATATTGTGCATGGTATGCATACTACAAAAATAGTATGATTAGTATGCTAGTGTAATATTGTGGATTCAGCCACTGTATACACTGTAATATTAGCATACTGCATACAGTTTAGTATTCCATGCATACAGAAAATTCACATATTGTGCATGGTATGCATACTACAAAAATAGTATGAGTAGTATGCTAGTGTTATATTGTGGATTCAGCCACACTGGAATACTAGCATACTGCATTTTGCATACTGCACAGAATGCATATTGTACTACACATAATGTGCACAGAATGCATACTGCAAAAATAGTATAAGTAGTATGGTATTATGCTATTCCAGATTCAGCCACTGTATGCACTGGAATACTAGCATAATGCATACTGCAGATAGTGTACTGCAAACTTTTTAGTACTCCATGCATACAGACAATTCACATATTGTGTACAGTATGCATACTGCAAAAACAGTACAGGTAGTATGCTAGTGCGATATTCTAAAATTACTTACTCTTTACACTGGAATTTATACAGTGTATGTGAACAGCCGCATAACCATGAATCTGTGTGTGTTGGTCAGGTGAGTAAGACAGGTGCAGAAGGATCCGTCCTGGATGAAGCCAAGAACATCAACAAGTCTCTGTCTGCGCTGGGGAACGTCATATCAGCTCTGGCTGAAGGAACCGTGAGTTACAGCTGCATATAACTAATACAAACATAACATGCATGAAATTATTGTAGTTCAAAGTAGAAGACAGACAGTCTTAACCCATTTAAATACTGTGTATATCTAAACACCAGCTATCACCCGTGAGAAAAAACTATTTGCCCCTTTAAACTTAAAATCTGTTTGTGCCACCTTTAGCAGCAAGAACTGCAAACAAACTCCCCAACACTGTTAATAACTCTGTGCTGTGTGTGAGCAGAAGACTCACGTGCCGTACCGAGACAGTAAGATGACGCGGATCCTGCAGGACTCTCTGGGAGGAAACTGCAGAACCACCATGTTTATCTGCTGCTCTCCTTCAGCCTTCAACGACGCCGAGACCAAATCCACCCTGATGTTCGGACAACGGTAACACAGCGAACACACACTGAACCACACACAGACACACACACACACACACACACACATCCATCACTCACACACTCTCTGTGTCTCAGAGCAAAGACCATCAAGAACACGGCGTCTGTGAACCTGGAGCTGACGGCAGAGCAGTGGAAGAGGAAATATGAGAAAGAGAAGGAGAAGAACAAGAACCTGAAAGAGAACATCCAGAGACTGGAGGCGGAGCTTAACCACTGGCATAACGGTGTGGAAATATGCATTATTTCTCTCTTTTTGACACAAAAAACACTCAAAGGTTTCTTCAGAAGTTCAGTCACTACAGCTGCTCTTTACTCATGAAAAAAGTACCATGAGTGTTTTGGACATGCTCCATGGTAATACTATGATTTATCAGACATTTACTATGGGAATACCATGTTTTTAGACCACTTACTAAAAAAATACCATGGTACTACCACATTAGAAGTAATTAATGCAAGAGTTGCTAAAATAAAACTCTAGTAAAACCAAGGTAATTCAACAAAATGAGAAAGATTATAAAACCTTACACTGTTTAAAGGAAATCCCAGAATAATGTCTTCTGATTTTACTACAGTAAATGTGGTAAATGAGTGTGTGATTGTGCTGCAGGTGAGTTTGTCACGCCACTGGATCTCATGGCTGTGATTCCTGTCGAATCTGATGTCAGTGAAGACGCAGCTTTAGACAATCAGAGCAATGGCGCGTGTGAGCGAATCCCAGAGGAACACAAGCTGAAATATGAGGAAGAGATATGCAAACTCTACAAACAGCTCGACGACAAGGTACGAGCACACACACACACACACACACACACTCACACACACGCACACACGCGCACACACACACACACACACACACACTCACACACACGCACACACGCGCACACACACACACACACACACACACTCACACACACGCACACACGCGCACACACACACACACACACACACACTCACACACACGCACACACGCGCACACACACACACACACACACACACTCACACACACGCACACACGCGCACACACACACACACACACACACACTCACACACACGCACACACGCGCACACACACACACACACACACACACTCACACACACGCACACACGCGCACACACACACACACACACACACACTCACACACACGCACACACGCGCACACACACACACACACACACACACTCACACACACGCACACACGCGCACACACACACACACACACACACACTCACACACACGCACACACGCGCACACACACACACACACACACACACTCACACACACGCACACACGCGCACACACACACACACACACACACACTCACACACACGCACACACGCGCACACACACACACACACACACACACTCACACACACGCACACACGCGCACACACACACACACACACACACACTCACACACACGCACACACGCGCACACACACACACACACACAGAATGATGGGAGTAAACAACGCATGGAAAAATTGACTTTCTGATTGATTCTTTTCTCTCTGACAGGACGATGAGATTAATCTACAGTGTCAGCTGGTGGAAAAACTGAAGGAGCAAATGCTGGATCAAGAAGAGGTAAAACACTTGCTGAAATCATATTTGCATACTACCACAACTTAATATGGCAAAAATAATATGAGTAGTATGGTAGTGTAATACTCAACATTATGTCACTACACTGGAAAAGAAGCACATTGCATATTGCAAACTGTGCAGAATGTATTGCATACTTTTTAGTACTCCATGCATACAGAAAATTCACATATTGTGCACACTATGCATACTGCAAAATCAGTTTGAATGGTATGGTAGTGTAATATTCCAGATTCAGCTACTAGAATAATAGCATACAACAGTACATATTACATACTGTGAAGAATGGACTGCATACTTTTTTTAGGATTCCATGTATACAGAAAATGTACATATAGTGTACGGTAGGCATACTGCAAAAACAGAGTAGTATGGCAGTATAATATTCCGGATTCAGACACTGTATACATTGGAATACTAGCATACTGCACATTGCATACTGCATACTTTGATAATGTACATAGATTGTACTTCATACTTTTTTAGTACTCCATGCATGCAGAAAATTGACATATTGTGCACAGAATGCATACTGCAAAAATAGTATGAGTGGTATGACAGTATACTTTTCCAGATTCAGGCTCTATGTACATTGGAATAATAGCATACTGCATTTTGCAAACTGCGCAAAAATTTACTGCATACTTTTTCAGTATTCCATGCATACAGAAAAATTCACATATTGCGCACAGTATGTATACTGCAAAAATAGTACAAGCAGTATGATAGTATGCTCTTCTGGATTCAGTTCCTGTATGCACTGGAATACTAGCATACTGCATATTGCATACTGCGCAGAATGTATTGCATACTTTTTTAGTTTTCCATGCATACAGAAAATTCACATACTTTACTGCAAAAATAGTATGAGTAGTGTGCTAGTGTAAAATTCCAGATTTAGATACTAGTGTAATAGCATACTACATATCACATATTGTGCAGAATGTACTGCAAACAGAAAACTTACATATTGTGCACAGTATGCATACTGCAAAAATAGTATGAGTAGTATGCTAGTGTTATATTCCCAAAACGCCCACTACATGAATATAAAACTGCATAGTGGATGATTTGAGTCTTGTTGTGTAAAGTAGGTCAGGGAAACTGCATACTCAGTGTGTGTGTGTTTAGCTGCTAGCGTCGTCGCGTGGAGACGGTGAGCGTGTGCAGTGCGAGTTGAGTCGTCTTCAAGCAGACAGCGACAGCGCAAAGACCGAGGTGAAGGAGGTTCTGCAGGCGCTGGAGGAACTCGCTCTGACCTATGACCAGAAGAGTCAGGAGGCTGAAGACACGAGGATCCACAACAGACGCCTCATCGAGGAGCTGTCGCACAAAACCGTACGCAAACTAGCCCTTCATTAGCAAAAATATCTTAATGCAGCACATGTTGTTTGGCTTGAGGAGCCACATGTTCTGCTTTGATCTCGTGAGCTTTTTCTTCATAATTACCTACATATTCCACAGAGCTTTCATGTAGGGCTGAATATTCTCTTGTCTTTTACTCATTCATTCCTGGCTGTTTCTCAAATTTATGCTGCCATTCAAAAGTCTTAAATTAATACTTTTATTCATTAGGGACTTGATCAAAAGTGACAGTAAAGACATTTATAATGATACAAGTTTTCTATTTCAAATAAATGCCGTTCTTGTGAACTTTCTATTCATCTGTGAATCCTGCAAAATAAAATGCATCACGTTTTGCACAAAAATATTGTGCAGCACAACTGTTTTCAACATTGATAATAATCAGAAATGTTTCTGGAGCAGCAAATCAGAATATTAGAATGATTTCTGAAGATCATGTGACACTGAAGACTGGAGTAAAGATGCTGAAAATACAACTTTGATCACAGAAATATTATATTTTAACATATTCATATAGAAAATAGCTATTTTATATTATACCTTCACAATTTTTACTGTAGTTACTGTATTTTTGATCAAATAAATGCAACCTTGGTGAGCAGAAGAGACTTAAAAACTAAAATAAGGAATAAGGGGTATAAAATGTTGTTTTCCCAGATCTGTAGTACAAATAATAGAATTTATTGGCTCAATTTAAACAAGTATTGTTATTACTGTCTTGTGTCTATTAGTGTTTCGCAAGCATGGCATAATATTCATTGAGCAGTAAAAGTAAGACCTATAATGATATAAACACCAGCAGTAATGTTAGCAGGAACTGACTTCCTTGAGCTGCTAATTAAATCATCAGTGCTGAATTCAAGTATGTTTCCATGCAGTGAATAATGTTTAATCACGGTCTTCTCTCAGTCGGATCTGATGTGTTTGGAGGCGGAGTTTTCCCGGCTACAGGAAGTGAGTGGCCAGCAGAGGAAGCGCATCACTGAGGTGTTAAACACTCTGATGAAGGATCTCAACGACTTCAGCTTCATACTGGGAAACGGAGACCTCAGACTGGTGAGCGAGTGTGTGACATGATCTTTAAATAACTGTTATGATATGATATGAACTGATATGTGACCCTGGAATACATTGGAATACTAGCATACTGCACATTGCATACTGCATACTTTGATAATGTACATAGATTGTACTTCATACTTTTTTAGTACTCCATGCATGCAGAAAATTGACATATTGTGCACAGAATGCATACTGCAAAAATAGTATGAGTGGTATGACAGTATACTTTTCCAGATTCAGGCTCTATGTACATTGGAATAATAGCATACTGCATTTTGCAAACTGCGCAAAAATTTACTGCATACTTTTTCAGTATTCCATGCATACAGAAAAATTCACATATTGCGCACAGTATGTATACTGCAAAAATAGTACAAGCAGTATGATAGTATGCTCTTCTGGATTCAGTTCCTGTATGCACTGGAATACTAGCATACTGCATATTGCATACTGCGCAGAATGTATTGCATACTTTTTTAGTTTTCCATGCATACAGAAAATTCACATACTTTACTGCAAAAATAGTATGAGTAGTGTGCTAGTGTAAAATTCCAGATTTAGATACTAGTGTAATAGCATACTACATATCACATATTGTGCAGAATGTACTGCAAACAGAAAACTTACATATTGTGCATAGTATGCATACTGCAAAAATAGTATGAGTAGTATGCTAGTGTAATGTTCCGGACTCAGTAACTGTATACACTGGAATACTAGTATACTGCTCATTGCACAGAATGTAATGCATTATTTTTTTAATATTCCATGCATACAGAAAATGTACATATTGTGCGCAGTATGCATACTGCAAAAAACAAGTATGAATAGTATGCTAGTGTAATATTTCAGAGTCAGTAACTGTATACAATGGAATACACTGCACAGAATGTAATGCATACTTTTTACATATTCCATGCTTATGGAAAATTCAGATATTGTGTGTTGTATGCACACTGCAAAAATAGTATGAGTAATATGCTAGTGTAATATTCCAGATTCAGCTACTGGATTAATAGCATACTACATATTGCATACTGTGCAGAATGTACTGCATACAGAAAACTCACATATTGTGCACAGTATGCATACTGAAAAAATAGTATGAGTAGTATGCTAGTGTTATATTCCCAAAACGCCCACTACATGAATATAAAACTGCATAGTGGATGATTTGAGTCTTGTTGTGTAAAGTAGGTCAGGGAAACTGCATACTCAGTGTGTGTGTGTTTAGCTGCTAGCGTCGTCGCGTGGAGACGGTGAGCGTGTGCAGTGCGAGTTGAGTCGTCTTCAAGCGGACAGCGACAGCGCAAAGACCGAGGTGAAGGAGGTTCTGCAGGCGCTGGAGGAACTCGCTCTGACCTATGACCAGAAGAGTCAGGAGGCTGAAGACACGAGGATCCACAACAGACGCCTCATCGAGGAGCTGTCGCACAAAACCGTACGCAAACTAGCCCTTCATTAGCAAAAATATCTTAATGCAGCACATGTTGTTTGGCTTGAGGAGCCACATGTTCTGCTTTGATCTCGTGAGCTTTTTCTTCATAATTACCTACATATTCCACAGAGCTTTCATGTAGGGCTGAATATTCTCTTGTCTTTTACTCATTCATTCCTGGCTGTTTCTCAAATTTATGCTGCCATTCAAAAGTCTTAAATTAATACTTTTATTCATTAGGGACTTGATCAAAAGTGACAGTAAAGACATTTATAATGATACAAGTTTTCTATTTCAAATAAATGCCGTTCTTGTGAACTTTCTATTCATCTGTGAATCCTGCAAAATAAAATGCATCACGTTTTGCACAAAAATATTGTGCAGCACAACTGTTTTCAACATTGATAATAATCAGAAATGTTTCTGGAGCAGCAAATCAGAATATTAGAATGATTTCTGAAGATCATGTGACACTGAAGACTGGAGTAAAGATGCTGAAAATACAACTTTGATCACAGAAATATTATATTTTAACATATTCATATAGAAAATAGCTATTTTATATTATACCTTCACAATTTTTACTGTAGTTACTGTATTTTTGATCAAATAAATGCAACCTTGGTGAGCAGAAGAGACTTAGTAGGAAATTTACAAAATATCTTCATGGAACATGATCTTTACTTAATATCCTAATGATTTTTGGCATAAAAGAAAAATGGATAATTTTGACCCATACAATGTATTGTTGGCTATTGCTACAAATATACCCCAGCGACTTAAGACTAATTGACTAATAAAATAAAAGCAATAGAAAACTGAAGATAATAATAGAAAGAAGATAAACTAAATGATAATAAATATAAGATGCATAACAGTGCAGAGTGAAATCAGAGATTAACAATCAGGAAATGTAACAAAAAGAATCAATATTCATCCCAAAATGAATATTCTGTCATTATTTATTATAAATATACTACTACAGTTTTTTATTTTGAATTATTTTATTTTTATATTTTCACTTAAATTCTAGTAATTCTAACGTTTTAGTAATTTTGTTGTGTGTTTTTGTTATTTTTATTTATCTATATGTCTATTTTTTATTTATTCATTTTAGTTTATTACATCAAGTTAAACTAAATTAAAAATTTATATACTATTATAGATTTTGCTCATTTTATTTTAATTAGTTAATTTATTTATTTAAGATATTTAGTTAATTTAATTAGATTTTATTTTTATATTTATATTTTCTGTTTTCACTTTAATTCCAGTTAAAGTTTTAGTATGATTTCTGCAGTCAAAAGTGATTTTGAATAATCAATGATCAGATGCTTTTGATTCTGATCACATCATGCAGCGTTTATGAATGAGATCTGAGAGCTGATTATCAGTGAATAATGAGAGTTTTCATCTCTGTGTAGTAATTCTGTAATAAAACAAAAGGATGAAGTAAAGATGCAGAATAAGACTGATTGTGTCAGTAAATGTGTGTGTCCGTCAGCCGTGTGACCTGTCGGGTGTGCAGGAGGAGGAATACGCCGTGGTGTGTGTGTATGTGAGCAAAGTCAAATCTGAGCTGAAGTCGCTGGTGAAACGCTGCGGACAGCTGGAGGCTTTCAGTAAAGACATTTATAATGATACAAGTTTTCTATTTCAAATAAATGCCGTTCTTGTGAACTTTCTATTCATCTGTGAATCCTGCAAAATAAAATGCATCACGTTTTGCACAAAAATATTGTGCAGCACAACTGTTTTCAACATTGATAATAATCAGAAATGTTTCTGGAGCAGCAAATCAGAATATTAGAATGATTTCTGAAGATCATGTGACACTGAAGACTGGAGTAAAGATGCTGAAAATACAACTTTGATCACAGAAATATTATATTTTAACATATTCATATAGAAAATAGCTATTTTATATTATACCTTCACAATTTTTACTGTAGTTACTGTATTTTTGATCAAATAAATGCAACCTTGGTGAGCAGAAGAGACTTAAAAACTAAAATAAGGAATAAGGGGTATAAAATGTTGTTTTCCCAGATCTGTAGTACAAATAATAGAATTTATTGGCTCAATTTAAACAAGTATTGTTATTACTGTCTTGTGTCTATTAGTGTTTCGCAAGCATGGCATAATATTCATTGAGCAGTAAAAGTAAGACCTATAATGATATAAACACCAGCAGTAATGTTAGCAGGAACTGACTTCCTTGAGCTGCTAATTAAATCATCAGTGCTGAATTCAAGTATGTTTCCATGCAGTGAATAATGTTTAATCACGGTCTTCTCTCAGTCGGATCTGATGTGTTTGGAGGCGGAGTTTTCCCGGCTACAGGAAGTGAGTGGCCAGCAGAGGAAGCGCATCACTGAGGTGTTAAACACTCTGATGAAGGATCTCAACGACTTCAGCTTCATACTGGGAAACGGAGACCTCAGACTGGTGAGCGAGTGTGTGACATGACCGACACACATCCACACACACACACACACACACACACGCACGCACACACACACACACACAGACACACACACACACACATGAATACACTCACAGATGAAGTCTCTGTGTGTTTCCAGCATGAAGCGAAGATCCGCTCTCTGACTGAATACATGCAGAACATGGAGCTCAAGAAACGGCAGCTGGAGAACAACTACGACTGTCTGAGTGAAGAACTCGCCAAACTACAGACCGCAGGTACAAAACACACACACACACACACACACACACACTTATACTGATCAAAAATATCCCATAAAACAACTGTGTTTTATTTTTTTATTTTATTTTATTTTTTATTCTATTTTATTAATCTCTAGGTGGCAGAAAAATGGTTCGATTCAAATGCTCAATACCATTTCATAAATTAAGATAATGTGGGTCTGTTTTAGAGATAGATATTAAATCTAATATCTTTTTTAAAAATAAAACTCAAAATATTATTTATTGGTACTACTGAAAAGCCAAATTAAATTATTTTGAGATCTCCTTCAAGCTTTCAGAATCTTTATTTTTGGTTAATTACATTCTGTATATTAAAAAAATTAAATATGTATATTTACAAATTCTGTATATTTTAAAATTTATATTTGACCAACAATGGTGTGTTTATTTTTATATGTGTATTCATTGAATAAAATAAAGAAATACTGTAGATACTTTTACATTTTATTTTATAAATATATTTTATTTTTTAAATAAGTTTTTTGTATCAACATAAAATAAACGGAAAATGGTATAAACTTTGCTGAAGTGCTTATTTTTAACAAGTTTGAACTTGTTCAAATATTTAAAAGCTTAATTTTATATGTGTGTATCTTTTATTTAAAAAATGATCTTTTATTTGATAAAATATAACATTATTTTATCAAAATAAATTAAACAGTACAAACTGTTAAAGTTTTAAGCTTCACGTCATTAAAGCGTCATATCATTGAGATACTAATATAGTTTTTGTAAATATTTTAATTTACATTTTTATATATATATTCTGCTTTCATGTTAATTTTAGTTAATGTTTTAGTCATTTTAGTAATTTATTATTTTTATTTCAGTTTTAAATTTAGTTATTTTAGTTTATCAAGTTAAAAGTTAAATATAAAAGAATTGTTGCCTTAGATACTAGTTGAAATTAAACATTTTTATTTATTTATAAATGTGTGTGTGTGTGTAACCGCTGTGTGTGTGTGTGTGTGTGTGTGTGTGTGTGTGCGCAGTGATAACCAGAGGCTGAGTCTGCAGCTGGAGCAGATGAGTGTGGAGTTCAGCGTCCTGAAGAAGCGAGAGCAAGAGAAAAGCCGACAGCTGGAGGAGCTCAGGTGAGAACAGACTCACATCTCCAGACTCAAACATTTTTGAACAGTAAGACTTTAAGTGAAGTTATTAATGTAATTTCGGGAGGAGTACGCCCATCTAATCTTCCAATTAATATCCAAGTATAAAAGACAGCCTCTTACCACTTCCGTTTTTAGTTCTTTCGGCATCCCTCCTCCTCCCCATCTCCTCCTTTTATGCATATTTATTAATTTATTTATTTATCTTTCTGTCTGTCTATACAGCATATTAGAATGATTTCTGAAGATCATGTGACACTGAAGACTGGAGTAATGATGCTGAAAATACAGCTGCACATCACAGAAATAAATTATATTTTATATATATAATTAAATAGAAAACAGTTGTTTTAAATAGTTAAAATATTTATATTTTTGCTGTAATTTGGAACAAATAAACACAGGCTGGGTGAGCAGAAGAGACTTCTTTAAAAACATTAAAAATCTGTTCAGAGCCGTTTGACTGCAGGTGCACCTGATACTGTTTCTGCAGATTTCTGCATGAACGTCAGGAGCAGACCAGGCAGGACATGAAGGGTCTGGAGGAGACCGTCGTGAGTATCTACAGCGCCTCAGACTGAATATGATGTATAATAATGAGATTTACACACCTGCACGTTTGTCTGTGAAAGGCCCGTGAACTCCAGACGCTCCATAACCTGAGGAAGCTGTTTGTTCAAGACCTGACGACTCGAGTCAAACAGGTGCGTTTAGTCGATCCGCAAACACTCAGATGAAGAGGAATCCACTGAGATTAAAACTAAATTATGACACAACAAAACAGTAACACTTTACAATAAGTTAATGCATTTAACAATCTGTTAATGCATTAAATGGGATGAATAAGGAGCAATACAACAACATATATTTATTTATAAAGCAAACACAAAAAAAATTTCTAAGTGATGTACAACATGGACAAAAGCTACACATAGTTTTTTGTTAAATATTATTGCATTATTAATTATAATCCATTACATGTATTCAATAATATGAAATATATTACATTATATTATACATAAATTACAATATTTATATCAATAATTATAATTTTCATTAAAATAATAATTATAATTTTATAAAGTATTTCTTAAATTACTAAATATATTATTACATATGATAAGTAGTACATTAAATATATTTAATAGCATATGTATAATATTATTAACAAATATTATACTATAAGTAGAATTATAATATTGTTGTAATTTTATGAATTAATTACATTTATAAAAACTATGGAATTTTTTTTAAATACCTTAAATATATTTAATAACAGATGTATAATATTATAAATATATTATGACTATAATTATAATATTATAAAATGTTATAATTTAATAAATATTTTAGTAAATTACTAAAATATATATAGAAATACATTTAAATATATTATAAAAAGTATACATTAAATTCATTTAATAACAGGCTTATAATACTATAAATAGGCAATTATAAATATAATATCATAATATTAAAATTGTATTTTTTGTCTGCAAAAGCAACATTTACACTTTTCCAAAAGCTACATAATAAAATACGATTTTATTAAAATATAAATATGAAAAAAATAAAATATGATTTACTGTAACAATGCAATTATTTATTTATATATTCATCAATGTTTGTTAACATTAGTTAATAAAAATGCAATAAATAAATATACATCGAATAACATTGATTTATAATTGATTCTAGTATTTTATTAGTAAATGTTGAAATCAACATGAACTAAGATCAATAAATGCTTTAGAAGTATTGTTCATTGTTTGTTCATGTTAACTCAATTCACCATTATTTGTATAGCGCTTTTCACGATACAAATTGTTGCAAAGCAGCTTCAAATTAGAAAATTAAAGTTTTTACATTATATTTAGGAGTAGTTTATCAGTGGTGACTATGTAAGGGTGATGTCCATATGGCATAAATGTTGAATTATTAGGAAAATAATGCACACCCGAGGTGGTGATCGGGGAGTGGCCGTTACACCTCGGGTGTGCATTATTTTTCTAATAATTCAACGGCCCGGAGTCAATTATTCCGCTACGGTTACCACACCTCAAGACATCGATCAGATGATATATTTAAAGGGATTCGTCCGGTTTTTGTACTTAAATCGCTATTGCGAGTAGGATTATTTCCCTTTCAGTCGGTCACTCTCGACGTCACGTCGGATGACCGACGAAATTGGGAT